GTTCTTTTTTATGTATGAAGGTTCACTTTCTGAAAATTCATTAAGCTCTATACCTAAGATGTGTTCACTGTTCTCTACCTGGGATATAATTAAATGTGTCTTCTAAACCACTCATTTGCTCACCGCGAATTACCTGAACTCCAACCTTGCTGGGTCATGGGGGCTGGCTCTCCCTTCTCCCATGATGAGTACCTTTAAGCCCAGCTTCCCACGATACCAATGTTTTTTCTCCCTGGGTGAGGGGACTTTAACATCTGCAGACCCCTGTCAAAGAAAACAAGAGCCAGACAGAAGTTAAGGCAGTGAAAACAAATTTTATTCAGGAGCTGCAATAGGGAAGGAGACCTCAGTTTAGAACCGGCTCCCTTCTGAATACAAGGACAAGGGGGAAATTACGGCCATGGTGCACAGTGGGGTCAGTAGATGAAAACTACTAAAAGAGAACATCAGGAGTAAGAGAGATTCGAAACTGACTCAGCTTCTAGCTGAAGGCAGCCAGTTTAATAAGATACTAAGGGAGAGGGGTTGAGGGATTTCATCAGATATCAAGGGTAGTTAGATACCAAGGGTGGGGGATTCTAGTGAAACTACCGCAGCAGGATTCTTTCTGAAAACAGAATAAGCATAAGGACAGAGCCCAAGGTCTGGGTCTTAAGGGCTTAGGAGAGCCTGATTAGTGTTAGGTCAAAGAGAGAGTCCTTTGCCCCAGATGTCCCTAAAGCCCCAAGGGTAGGACAGCTAACTTTCCTAGGAAACTTCTGAAAACAACCGGCACTCCAAATCAAGACTGCCTGATGCCACTTCCTCCCATGAAGGCCACTTCTAGGAATGGGTCACTCTACTAGAAAGAAAAAATGTCTTGTGGAAGCCCTGGCCCTAGAAACAACTCACGTGGAAACATGGCAGAATGAGGGATGTTGTGCATCCCTGTCTTATTTACCTTGGCCTGGGGACTTTTCCTTTACTCAATAAAGACTATTCCTTGAGTCATGCTTGCAAAGCCAGTGGCAGGATAGATCCTCCTTCAATTTTATTAAAACACCAGATTTGCAAAAGGATTGTTACTGGGTTTTTGGGGTCATTCATTAATGACCAAGTTTGACACCAGTTTTTCAAAAATCCCTGCTTGTTGCCCAGGGGTCAGTGCATGATAGTGAGATTCAGAACACATAGGTTTCTTTTGTAAACTGGAAGCTGAGCTCTAAAGGGTAGGTAAGAAAAGAAGGACCAGTATTGGCACTCAGCTGCGGGCAAATTTCTCAAGCAAATCAATTTTAGGAAAAAACATTTGGCTTCTGAAAGTTTACCCCCTTAAAACTGTTGCTGCCCCAGAATCCCTTAAAACATCTCACAGGTGGTACGCAGCGGGTCACACCTGTAATCCCAGCACTCTGGGATGCCAAGGTGGGTGGATCATGAGGTCAGGAGTTCAAGACCAGCCTGGCCAACGTGGTAAAACCCTGTCTCTACTAAAAAAAAATTAGCTGCCTGTAATCCCAGCTACTCTGGAGGCTGAGTCAGAAGAACTGTTTGAGCCCAGGGGGCAGAGGTTGCAGTAAGCCGAGTTCTCACCACTGCACTACTCCAGTCTGGGCAACAGAGCAAGACTCTTTCAGAGTCTCAAAAAACAAAAACCTCACAAAACCCAATTGGGGAGGCTGTTTCCCCCCATTCACAGATTCTATTTCAGATACTACCAAGGTCGAAGCAAGGATTTGAGAAGTAATGAGGTAGGACAGTTCTTCCTTGGCTAGTGGCTTCTCTGGAACTGGCAGATGATTCAAGCTGGCATTTTACCTTCTAGAGCTTTCCTGGGCACTCTGGGAGCCCCAGCTCTGTGACTCAGCTTCAGGTCTCCTGAAGAGGATGGCATAGTCTGCTCCCTGGCCTAGATGCATCCGTGTCAGCCCTGGGTTGTGGTGCTGCACCCAACATTCTTCATAGTTGAAGACATCTCACCTCCCAGGTGCTCCTCTTGAGTGGGACTTAATACAGTTCAGCCTGGATTTTTCTCCCACCTGCCACATATCCATTTAGTCTACAGAAAAGCCTCATCAAATCCTTACCCCTGCCCCAAGAAAGAAACCAGGGGGTACAGTCGGTTAACTAGCACTCTCGTGGCTCTAACACCAAAGCAACTAGTTGTCCCATCTCTAGCCCTCTAGATTTTGGGGAGTTACACCCCAGACCACCTAACTGGACACTTACCAAGCTCTCAGATGGTCTCACTGAAGATCTGCCTCATTATATTTGGGATCACAGGATACATCCCCTTGGGGTAGAAGGGATGGAATTCACAGCACAAATTTTTTCCAAAGAAATCTTTTAATCTCTCTTCCCATACTCTGACACTGTGAATAATCCTTAAACCTGCTAGATGCTTGTAACCAGTTCTCAGGAATATTTCATTTGTCAATCGGCACATAGGCTCCATCTTAAACCTATTTGAGATTTCGTATTAATTATATTTCTACCTCAGGTTAAACTGAGACAAGAAACACTCATGCCATACCATTCTGTTAACTGCTGTCTTGGTTTGTTTTCTGTTGTAACAGAATGCCTGGCGCTGGGTAATTGATAAAGAAAGGAAGTTTATTTGGCTCACAGTTCTGGAGACTGGGAAGGGCAAGGGCCTGATGACAGCTTCTGGTAAGGTCTTTGTACGGCCTCATAACTTGGCAAAGGGCATCACATGGCTAGAGGGCAAGAGTGTGTAAAAAAGACAAAATGTGAGGGGTGGCCTTGCTTTATAACCATCCACTCTCATGGTAACTGATCCAGTCCCATTAGAGCAAGAACTCACTGATCCCCTGGAGAACTAACCCAGTCCCACGAGAGCAGCATTAATCCTTTCACGAAGGCAAAGCCCTTATGACCCAAACACTTCATAAAGGTCCCATGACTTTTCAATGTCATTACATTGGGAATCAAATTGCAACATGAGTTTTATACGGGACAAGTCATATTCAGACCATTTGTGACTGCCCATGTATGGCAGTATCTGTAACTGTCTGGATGCATCTTTACGGATATATCAATAACTCATTTAATCTCTCATGGTCATCTACTTCAACAACGCTTTAATAAATATATCCCTTCACCTGTGTTTTTAGGTCAACTGTTAATATACCTGTAGGATAAATTTCTAGAAAAGGAGCTAAGTCACTCTCTAGGTTATACCAATTTACCCTTCCAATCTAAGTATTAAAAAGATGGTTTTCCACATCCTCTGAACATAGTACCTTATTACATTTTTTAATCTTCTCCAGTGTAATAGGTGAAAAATCATAGCCTACTTAAATATGTATTTTCTTGATTATAAATGAGGTTAAATATACTTTTATGCGATTTAAAACCACTTATTATTATTTTTTTACTATGAGATGCCTGTTCATGTCCTTTGCTCATTTTTTCCTATTGTGCTTTTGGTATTTTTCATATTAACTTGTAAACACTTCATGTATTATTAAGGAAATTGGCCCATTGTCATGTGTGTTGCAAACAGATTTTCCCATAGTGCAAAAGGGCATAGTGGGCAGGAGCACCGGTGAAGAGGTGGTTCAAGGCAAATGTAGTACAGCTCAGGGCATTTAGAATGTAGCTACATTTGGAACAGCTTCTCTCACATCTTCCCCTGTCTCCCAGATGTTACCTTCTCATTCATAGCAGCTCAGCGGTGAACATCTAATTGAAGTGCAAGAAAAAGGGTCCAATGGACAGTCACCATGGCAACTGCCCCTCCCACAGTATTTACCATTCAAAGGCTTCTGCAGGCATTCATGTACGACAAATTAGCAAAGAAAGATTTCCAGATTCACAATCCTAATTTTTGAATGCAGTTTGAAGGTGCTTAGAAACCTAAAGAATGCCTGTGGTTTCTACAGGGAGAAGAATTGTCTTCAGTTCCAGCTTCTGTGGCAGGATGATTTGTTCAGACATTAGAGTCTACTTTGTTTGCGGTGTAATTTTTCTTCCATTCCCACCATCTGCGGAGGGTTGCCAGCCCATAGTGCTTGCTGGTCTCAGGAGTGGTTTATATTCCTGGGCACAAAGCAGAAGCTGCTTAAAGATCATGTCTGGCCTTGCCCTTAGGGAAAGCTCAAGCTCACTGAAGAGGTTAAACTATAAATCCGGATGGGGAGGGTTATGGTGGGGACGAGCCAATTCTCTTTGGAGGCAACAGGAGGAGTGAGCGAAAGCAGGAGAGGCTCTGTGAAGAGGGCAGACCTGTGACCACTGCGGCAAACGTCTAGGTTGGTGATAGAACCTGGTCATGACGGCTAGTGCTCTTAGGGAAGGGGGATTCCCCAACCTAACAAAAAATCCCACTCCCAACGGCAGAAAAGACCAGGGGCCCACCCACTTACAAGGAACCGTATTTCTGAATCCCTGAGGCATCTCAGCCCTAACCACTGTGGCCTGAGGATTCTTGGTGCTTCCAGGCATATAACCCCTGGGATATATGAGTGACTTTATGGTAGAGTGTCAGAAGAATCTTAACAGTAACTGAAGTTACATTTTCCATCATTTTGGCTGGTTGAGAGCTCAAAAACATTATTATTATTATTTTGAAATGGAGTCTCGCTCTGTTGTCCAGGCTAGAGTGCAGGCTTACTGCAACCCCTGCCTCCCAGATTCAAGCAATTCTCTGCCTCAGCCTCCTGAGTAGCTGGGATTACAAGTGGCTGCCACCACATCCGGCTAATTTCTGTATTTTTAGTAGAGATGGGGTTTCATCATCTTGGCCAGACTGGTCTTGAACTCCTGGTCTTGTGATCCACCCGCCTCAGCCTCCCAAAGTCCTGGGATTACAGGTGTGAACCACTGCACCCAGAAAATTATTTTTAATTTTAATAACTTAATGTGACATCCAGTGGGACACATCAGTCTGTGGAATAAAATATACATCCAGTGTACCTTTTTAGACTAGTATTGTAGGAAGCCTCAGCCAATTCAGCTCCTGACAAAAAATCCTACCACAAAAAAAACTACATTCGTGATACGATTTTTATATTGTTTTTATTTTGCCCACTTATTAAAGAGTTTACAAACACATTTTGCTTTATTTTATTTTTGAGATGGAGTTTTGCTTTTGTTGCCCAGGCTGAAGTGTAGTGGCACAATCTCGGCTCACCACAACCTCTGCCTCCCAAATTCAAGCGATTCTCCTACCTCAGCCTCCCAAGTAACTGACAGGCATGCACCACCATGCCTGGCTAATTTTGTATTTTTTAGTAGAGATGGGGTTTCTCCATGTTGGTGAGGCTGGTCTTGAACTCCCAATCTCAAGCAATCCAACCACCTCAGCCTCCCAAAGTGCTGGAATTACAGGCATGAGCCACTGTTCCCAGTCCTTTTATTTTTCTTCATTTATTTTCATGATCAATTATAGCACTTTTATAGGAGAAAATGGGTTTCCTGAAAAGATACTCTGGTGATGACTTTTCATCAGTGGGAAATAAGTATTTTAAAGTCTGACTTGTCACAGTAGTTTGTTCAAATCAAGGATGGCCTGGATGGTTCTCTGCTGCCCTCCAGTGGGAAACCGAGAGGAGGTCAAAGCATTTTTGAAATGAAAAATGGACTGGTTTATGTGTCTAATATTGGGATGTAAAATATATAGACAGAAAGAGATAAAAGAACCAAAGGATTTTTTTTCTCAGTGTGTTCAGAAATAAGTGAACTGTTGAACAAAGAACCATTCAGCACCATGACTTCTGACAACTGCAAAAGGATATTGTAAAGACTGTATTTAAAACAGGTGTTGGCCAGGCCGATGGCTCTCACTTGCCTGTAATCCCAACACTTTGGCAGACCAAAGCAGGAGGATCACTTGAGGTCAGGAGTTGGAGACCAGCCTGGCCAACATGATGAAACCCCATCTCTACTAAAAATATAAAAATTGAGAATGTATGTGTGAAGCTGAGAGAGAGATCCAAGATGGCTGATCACCAGCAGTTCAGGATTGTAGCTCCCAGTGAAAACACAGAGAATAAGAGGACGCCACACTTTCAGACGAATTTTTGTTGCTCACGGACCAGGAGATTCCCAGCAGAGGAGCCCCATGGGTCGCCAGTGCGACTCTTGTGGCCGGTGTGGAGGTTCTTGGTGCAGAATGGACTGGATCCCGTTTTGGTCGACATTTGGAGCTCCCGGAAGGCAGAGTCGCCTATTCAGCTGATTGAAGGACAGACTCAAGAAGGAAGCCAGACCAGAGATTCCCAGGCAGAAAAGCACCATCAATCTTAATGCCGCTGTTTTCGCCGGTGCAGTGGGTTGCTCAGATTCTGGCGCTGGGAATGACAAGTTAGATGTCCACTCAGAGACCAAATTAGAAAGTCAGTAATTACAAAGACAACAGATGGATAAATTTATCATGATGGGAAGAAATCAGCCTAAAAAGGTTGAGAATACCCAAAATCAGAATGCCTCTCACTCTACAGGGGATCATAGTTCCTCATCAGCAACAGAACAAGGCCTGATGGAGAACGAGTGCATTCCATTAACAGAAGTAGGCTTCAGAAGGTGGATAATAAGAAAATTCTGTGAGTTAAAAGAACGTGTTCGAACCCAATGCAAAGAAACCAAGAACTTTGGAAAAAAGGTTTGATGAAATCATAATGAGAATAGACAATTTAGAGAGGAATATAAGTGAATTAATGGAACTGAACAATACAATGCACCAAGTATGCACAGGTTTTAACAGTCGAATAGATCAAGCAGAAGAAAGGATATCAGAGGCTAAAGACCAACTTAATGAAATGAAACAAGAAGACAAGATTAGAGAAGAAGAAAGAGTAAAGAGGAAAGAGCGAAGTCTCCAAGAAATATGGGACTATGCAAAAAGACCTAATTTACTTTTGATAGGTGTACCTGAATGTTATGGAGAGAATGAATCCAAGTTGGAAAATATTCTTCAGGATATTATTCAGGAAAACTTTCCTAACCTAATAAGGCAGGATAATATTCAACTCCAGGTAATACAGAGAACACCATAAAGATATTCCTCAGGTAGAGCAACCCCAAAACACATAATCGTTAGATTCACCAGGGTTGAAATAAAGGAGAAAATTCTAAGGGCAGCTAGAGAGAAGGGTCAGGTTACCCATAAAGGGAAGCCTATCAGACTCACAGCAGACCTCTCAGCAGAAACCCTACAAACTAGAAGACAGTGGGGGTCAATATTCAATACCCTCAAAGAAAAGAAGTTTCAACTCAGAATCTCATATCCAGCCAAACTAAGCTCCATAAATGAAGGAAAAATAAAATTTTTCACAAACAAGCAAGCACTCAGAGATTTCATCACCACCAGGCCTGCTTTACAAGAGCTTCTGAAAGAAGCATTACACACAGAAAGGAACAACCAGTATCAATCATCCCAAAAACTTGCCAAAAGGTAAAGAGTATCTCCATAATGAAGAATCTATATCAACTAATGGGCAAAATAGTCAGCTAGCATTAAATGACAATATTAAACTCACAAATATCAATATTAATCCTAAATTTAAATGGATTAAATGCCCCAATCAAAGACACAGAAAGGAAAATTGAATAAAAAGTCAAAACCCATTGGTATGCTGTATCCAGATCCATCTCATAACAAGAACACACAAAGACTCAAAACAAAGCTTTGGTGGAAGACTTACCAATCAAATGGAGAGCAAAAAAAAAAAAACAAAAAACAGGAGTTGTAACTTTTGTCTCTGACAAAATAGACTTTAATAGTAACAAAGACTAAAAGAAAGAAGGGCATTACATAATGATAAAAGGATCAGTACAACAATAGGAGTCAATGATCATAAATATATATGCACCCAATACAGGAACACCCAGATACATAAGACAAGTTTTCAATGACTTATAAAGAGACTTGGACTCCCGCACAATAACAGCGGGAGACTTTGACACCACATTGTGAATATTCGACAGATCAACGAGATAGAAAATTAACAGGGACATTTATGATTTGATCTCAGACCTGCAACAAGTAAATTCAGTGAATATCTATAGAATTCTTCACCCCAGGTCCACAGAACATACATTTTTCTCAGTATCACATTACACCTGTTTTGAAAGTGACCACATAATTGGAAATAAATCATTCTTCAGCATTTGCATAGCATTTCACAGACTTAAATGAAATATTGGTTGGCTGTTTGTTTGTTATTTTCTTCCCTTATTCCTTCCTGTCTCTGCTGATAAGTACAATTATCGCCATAAAAGAGGTTTTTAATACCTATTTTTAGATTGCATTCCAGCCTGGGCAAAAGAGCAAGATTCCTGTTCTCTCTCCCCCTTTCTCTTTCTCTTTTTTTCTTTAAAAAAAAAAATACTATTGGAGATGCTCCTAAAGTTTACTTATTAAGTGACAGTATCAGTGGCATCATTCAGAATTACAATGTGTGCACTCAGAGCTGAGAATATTAAGTATGGATTGCTGCTTAAATTCATGTCGCCTGAATCACTACAGTCAGTTTTGTGAGTTTTATTGTTTTGCTGGAACCAAAAGAAAATTCTCCAGAAGACATAATGACAGGATGGGTACAAAATATAGTTAGAACAAATGAATAAGATCTAGCATTTGCTAGCATAACAGGGTAGCTATAGTCAAAATAATTTAATCATACATTTAAAAATAACTAATACAGTATAATTGGATTAAAAATACAAAAGTTAGCTGGGTGTGGTGGTGCGTGACTGTAATCCCAGCTACTCAGGAGGCTGAGGCAGGAGAATAGTTTGAACCTGGGAGGTGGAGGTTGCAGTGAGCCAAAATCGCACCACTGCACTCCAGCCTGGGTGACAAAGCGAGACTCTGTCTCAAAAAAGAAAGAAAGAAAAAACAGAAAGAAAGATAAAATGGAGGTCTTTCTGCCGGGATAAAAACAGTACACAACTTTGGAAATAAAAATTTTAAGTATTCTGAGTGTCCATGTATACTTATACAATCTTGCTTTACTTCTGCATAATTATTTAATGATGATATTGTAGTCTATTATATATCACAACACCCTTATTTATTTGAAGAAGATTATTAACGGGCTGTGAAGAAATTATGCAGCTTCTCAGTTTCTCCATGAATCTGATTACTATCCACGATAGGTGTGCATTAAGAAGTTTATTTAGTTTACTAACTGACCTTTTACAGAAAAAGTTTGCCAATTCCTGCTAAGTCACAATTCCTACCACATTTGCATCCTGCTTTAACCAACTGATAGATATTTTTTATAGTGAAAGAAAAACTTAAAAAATGTACAACAAACAAAACAAACTTGTTATACAAAAGGAGTGGATTAATCCTTGAATACTGACTGACTCTTACATGTTCATTTCCCCCCGTACCTCTAAATATATTTCTAGAACTGATGTGTTTAAAATAGACTGATGCCTGTGTCAGTAGCAGGGCAAGAAAACAAACTCACTTGCTCAAAAAAAAAAACACAAAAAAAAACTTTACTTAGCATTTCTGCATTAGTTAAATGAGTCTTATTCTATTCATTTAAAATATACAAATTAACATATCAATCACTAACAGACAGTGGTGGTTATAAATCAAGGCTCTAATGATGTTGTGTTTTTAAATATATTTTCAAAATATATTAATTCCTCTTGAACAAACAAACGAAAAATGTGAAAAGATTCACCTGTCCCCTCTGGTAAACGAGACGCCCATTCTGGAGTATGGGGCAAAGACATACTGGATACTTGCCCCGTCTTCAGCAAATGCACCGAGCCCGGAGCCAGAAACACGTGAAGCACGAGGACAATCTGAAAACAACAACCACAGCAGCCAAAAACAAAAGCTTTTCACGAGACCTTTTCCAGACTGTAAAAGCAAGAGAGGAGGCAAGAAAAACAGAAAATTGTAAGCTGATTTGAAAACTTTTAAAAAGTGATAGAGCCTATATTACATAAAACTTGATGAGACAGTTGACCCTAGGAAATTACAATATGTTGCCAACATTTCCTGGGCAAGCTGATCATTAAAATAATACCTGAAATAGATTAAATAGGTCTTGCATACTACTTGCTATGCTCAGATCATCTCATTTAAATTCAGAAGACCCATATGAGATGGGTACCGTTTTTATTCCCATTTTACAGGTAAAGAAATTGAAGATGAGAAAAATCGGCTGGTACAGTGGCTCATGCCTGTAATCCCAAACTTTGGGAGGCAAAGGTGGACAGACCACTTGAGGTCAGGAGTTCAAGACCAGCCTGGCCAACAGGGCAAAACCCTGACTTTACTAAAAATAGAAAAATTAACCAAGCTGTGGTGGCGGATGCCTGTAGTCCCAGCTACTTGGGAAGCTGAGGCAAGAGAATCACTTGAACCCCAGAGTTGGAGGTTGCAGTGAGCTGAGACTACACCACTGCACTCTAGCCCAGGTAACAGGAGACTCCATCTTGTGGAAATAAAAAAAAAAAAAAAACCAACAACTAGAGATAAATTAATTAACTTGCTCAGGCAGAAGAAAGATCAAACTTCAGAGAATGATTTAACAATAACAAATAAGGTTTATTTGGAAGCAGAAGCCATCTAGAACTCTTAATTACTTTCTATATTTACTACATTTTTATTTATTATACATGTGAGGTTTCTTTCAGGATGTTAAACTTTTTTCATGTACAATCTATATTTTATTGCACTAAAATGCTTAAAACGAAGTTTCAAGACTCAAAAAGAACAGAATTACGATATACCTCAGATGTACCTTGTGAGAAAAGCATTGCTAGTACTATTTTACAAATTAGTTAAGACCTTGGGGGCTTGGAGAAATAATGTGAATTCTTACAGAGCAAAAGCTGACTTAGGACTTGACCTCATATCATGTGAATAACTTCAGGTGTGTGAGGTCGACTTGAGAATATTCCTTAGGCTATGGCACATTGCTATCATTAGGTATTCACAGGGAATCTCAGAGATTATATGAACACATCACAGGACAGTTGGTCCTCCATCTCCATGGGTTCCACATCTGTGGATTCAAGTAATTGCAAATAAAAAATATTTGAAAAAAATTCCATCTGTATTAAACATGTACAGTTTTTTCTTGTTATTGCCTAAACAACATAGTATAACAACTGTGCAGCATTTACATTTTATTGGGTATGATAAGTAATCTAGAGATAATTAAAAGTATAGAACAGGTGTGGTGGCTCACACCTGTAATCTCAGCACTTTGGGAGGCCAAGGCGGGCAGATCACAAGGTCAGGAGTTCAAGACCAGCCTAGCCAACACAGTGAAAACCTGTCTCTACTAAAAATACAAAAATCAGCAGGGCATGGTGGTGTGGACCTGTAATCCCAGCTACTCAGCAGGTTGAAGCAGGAGAATCGCTTGAACTTGGGAGGTGGAGGCTGCAGTGAGCTGAGATGACACCACTGCACTCCAGCCTGGGTGATGGGTGACACAGCGAGACTTGTCTTAAAAAAAAAAAAAAAGAAACGGGGCAAAAAAAACTAGCAAACAGAATTCAATAACACATGAAAAAGATCATTCATTACAACTAAGGATTCAACCCAGAGCTGCAAGGATAATTCAACATATACAAATGAAGTAATACGATATATCCTATTAACAGAATAAAGGACAAAAATCATATGATCATTTCAGTTGATGTTGAGAAAGCATTTGATAAAACCCAACATCACTTCACAATTAAAAAAAACAACAACCTCAAAGAACTGGGCATAGAAGGAACACATCTCAATACAGTAAAAGCTGTATATAATAGACCCATGGCTAGTATCAGACTAAATGGAGAAGAACTGAAGGCATTTCCTCTAAGATCAGAAACAAAACAAAGATGCCCAAGTTCACCACTGTTACTGAACATTTTAATAGTAGTCAGTGTCCTAGCTGGAGCAACCTGGTAAGAGAAATAAATAAAAGGCATACAAATTGGAAAGGAAGAAGTCAAATTATCCTTGTTTGCAGATTTGATCTTATATTGAGAAAAACTTAAAGACTCTATCAAAAAACTATTAGAACTGATAAACAAATTCAGTAGAGTTGCAGGATATAAAATCAACATTCAAAAATCAGTAGCATTCCTGTATGTCAATAGTGAACAACCTGAAAAGAATTCAGGAAGAAAATTTCATTTACAATAACAACAAATCAAACAAAAACCAAGGAATAAACTTAATCAAAAGAGTAAAAGATCTCTACAATGAAAACTATAAAGCATTCATAAAAGAAACTGAAGAGGACACACAAAAAAATGGAAAGATATTCCATGTTCATGGATTGGAAGAATTAATATTGTTAAAATGTCCACACCACCCAAAACAATCTACTCAATGCAATCCCTACAAAATACCAATAACATTCTTCACAGAAATAGACAGAAATCCTAAAATTCATATGGAATCATGAAAAGCCCAGAAGAGTCAAAGCCATCCCAAGCAAAAAGAACAAAACTGAAAGCATCACATTACCTGACTTCAAATTATATTACAGAGCCATAGTAACCAAAACAGCATGGTACTGGTACAAAAACAGACACACAGACCAAGGGAATAGAATAAGAAACCAGAAAACGTCCATACATCTACAATGAACTCATTTTTAACAAAGGTGCCAAGTACATACACTGGGATAAGGACAGTTTCTTCAGTAAATGGTGCTAGGAAAACTTGATATCCATATGTGAAAGAATGACACCAAACCCCTATCTCTTGCCTTTGAAAAAAGACTTAAATCTAAGACCTCAAACTATGAAACTACTAAAGGAAAACACTGAGGAAACTCTCCATGACATTAATCTGGGCAAAAATGTTTCTTTTTTCGTTTTTTAGAAATGGGATCTCACTATGTTGCTCCAGTGCAGAGGCTAGTCACAGGTGTGATCCTGCTACTGATCAACATGGACGTTTTGACTTGCTCCATTTCTGACCTGGGCCAGTTCACTCCTCCTTGGGCAACCAGGTGGTCTGGTTCCCTGTTCCTGGGAGGTCACCACATGATGCCAAATTTAGTGCAGATGCCTAGTGCATTATAACCCAGAATTCCTGGACTTAAGCAATCCTCCCACCTCAGCTTTCTGAGCTCAGCAGCCTTTTTTAGAGACTCTGTCTAGCTAGAGTGCAGTGGCACAATACTGGCTCACTACAACCTCCACCCCCTGGGTTCAAGCGATTTTCATGCCTCACCCTCCCCCACCCCCAAGTAGCTGGAATTACAGGCATGGCCCACTACACCTGGCTAATTTATGTATTTTTAGTAGAGATGGAGCTTTGCCATGTTGGCCAGGCTGGTCTCAAACTCCTGGCCTCAAGTGATCCACCCACCTTGGCCTTCCAAAGTGTTGAGATTACAGGCATCAGTCAACTGCACCTGGCCAAGCAAATTTCTTAATACCCCAATGCAAAGGCAATCAAAGCAAAAAGGACAAATAGGATCATGTCCCATTTTAAAAGCCTTCTGCACAGCAAAGGAAACAATCAACACAGTGAAAAGACAACATCTAGAATGGGAAAAAGTATTTGCAAAATATCCATCTGACAAGAGGTTAATAACCAGAATATATAAGGAGCTCAAACAACTCTGTAAGAAAAAATCTAATAATCCAATTAAAAATGGAAAAAAGATCTGAATAGATATTTCTCAAAGGAAGACATACAAATGGCAAACAGGTATATGAAAAGGTGCCCAACATCACTGATGATCAAAGAAATGCAAATCAAAACTATGAGATATTATCTCACCCCAGTTAAAATGACTTTTATCCAAAAGGCAGGCAATAACGAATGGTAGTGAGGATGTGGAGAAAAGAAAACCCTCATACACTGCTGGCAGGAATGTAAATTAGTGTAGCCACTCTGGAGAACAGTATAGAAGTTCCCTTAAGAAACTGAAAATAGAAATACTATATGATCCAGCAATCCCACTGCTAGCTATATACCCAAAAGAAAGGAAATCAGTATGTTGAAGAGATAGCTGTACTCTCATGTTTATTGCAGCTCTATTCATCACGGCCAAGATTTGGAGTCAACCTAAGTGTTCATCAACAGACAAGTGGATAAAGAAAATGTGGCACATGTATACAATGGAGTACTATGCAGCCACAAAAAGGATGAGATTGTGTCATTTGCAACAACATGGATGAAAATGGAAGACATCATGTTAAGTGAAATAAGTCACATACGGAAAAACAAACTTTGCTTGTTATCACCAATTTGTGGGAACTAAAAATTAAAACAATTGAACTCATGGAGATAAAGTTACCAAAAGCTGTGAAGGGTCGTGGTGGGGGTGGGGGAAGTAGGGATCATTAATGGGCACAAAAATATAGTTAGATGGAATGAATATGACCTAGAATTTGATAGCGCAAGAAGGTGACCACAGTCAATTATAATTTGTTGCACACTTTAGAATAACTAAGGGAGTATAATTGGAATGTTTGTACCAGAAAGAAATGATTAATGTTTGAGGTAATAGATACCCCATTTACCCTGATGTGATTATTGCCGTTGTATGCCTCTAACAAAATATCTCATGTACCTCATAAATATATATACACCTACTATGTACCCATAAAATTAAAAATAAAAAAATTAAAGTGTATAGGAGGATGTGCTTAGGTTATATGCAAACATGATCCCATTTTACATCAGAGACTTGAGGATACTTGGATTTTGGTATCAGAGGAGGTCCTGGAGGTCTAATCCCCCATAGATATTAAGGGATAACTGTACTTATAATGGGGGATAGAAATGAGAATGGGAGTCAAAAATAAAGAAGGATGTTAAACTTTTCATATTATCTAGGAGTTACTGCAGAAGTCTTTGAAGCTGAGAACAATATAATAGGTACCAAG